AACATTAAAGAAAAAACTCCTAAGAGCTATTTAAGAGTTTCTCTCACCCTACCCACCATGCATAGGAATAATATTGCAAGTATTCATAATTACATTTTGAGGCCTAGATTCTTCATCTGACTCTTGCTTCACTATAACAACAGGGAAATCATAATTTTCTGGTGGTCCACTGTTTTCTTGTTTTATTCGAATTGGCTCCAACATGACCACTGGGACTTTGTGTGTAGAGTCAGCTCCTGCTGGTTTGCTGGAAGAGCCAGAGCTGTAAGTATGAGAGAGAAGAAAAAGCAATCTAAGAATGTTAAGCTGAATACCTCATAAAAAGTATAACAACAACTTTCTAAAATAATACTGTATCCTCACAACAGTAAGTATGTTACATCGGCAATTAATGATGCCTAACGAAACTGCTATATGCAAGTTTCATTTATGATAAAAATGTTTTACATATTAACCTATCTAAATAGTTATATATCTGGAAAGATGTTTCAATAAACCTAAACTTTTAAAAACCTGAGGCTTTACAGTTAGGCAACCAGATTTAGTATCTTAGAACTGGCATCTGATTTTAGACTTTCTCATTTCCTTCTCTAGTCAGTAGCAAAGTAATACTTTGGTGAAGACAATGAAATAATCATTTTTTTAAACAATGCTATTTAAAGAAGGTAGTGGGACAAAAACCTTTTACAGATATTTACTATGTTCTCATGGGATTAAAGGCAAACTTTTCTCCCTCAGACAATTCTTCCATATGATTAAGAAAGTAGGAACTGGGTTCACTAGGAGGAATTTTCAGGCATAATGCAGGGAAGAGGAGGGCAGTTGCTTAAAATAGAATTTCAATACCTGTATATTCATTTATTTTAAAGTAGAATCAATATTTAGTCATTAGAGATCAAATTAGCATAAAATTTTATCTTTTCCCTAAGTTTGTGTTTCTATATAGTGTACTGTGTTATACCTATTCATTTTTATGTTTTCTTTGCTATTATATGAATATCAAACATTTCTTATTTTCAACATATAGACAAATATTCTTCTATCTTCAAAGGTAAATTTGTACTTTTGTTAATCCCTTAACTAATTTATTAAAATTTTAATTAAAGATAAAGGAAATTGTTCAAAATATATTGAGTATCAAAACATGTTGAACACTGGCAAGAGAAATCTAATTAGAGATTTTATGTACTAGAAAATATGGTTTAGTCAGTTTACCTTCCTCGGCTTCCAACGCTGGAGGCACTAGGTGAACGTATTGGGGGGTGTACACTAGTCATAGTAACAGGTCCTGAGGAGGGGGAAATCATACATTCATAAAACGAATGAATAATTATGCATTGAAGTCCTATTGAATGTGTTCACTTAGCACTACATTGAAACTGGGAACCATGATTAAATTATATGAAACAGTAAGTAGCTGCTGAATTTTCAGCAGTCGGTTACAGCCTGTTACACTGGCAGGGTTTTTCAACCTCTGCACTATTGACTTTTGGGCCAGATAATTCTCCTTGTTGTGGAGGAATGTCTCTGCATTTTAGGATGTTTAGCAACATCCCTGGTCTCCACCAATTATTAGATACCAGTGGCATCTCTCTATACTTCCCAGCTTGGGGTGTGACAATCAAAAACGTCTCCAAACATTGCCAAGTCTTTCTGTGTTACAGTAACAGGGGTAAGATCTCAGTGAGACCCTAGTGCCAGCGGAAGCTACAGAAGACAATGAAAGGTGGTATGGGCTGATAGAAAAGGAGTTCAAAAAAGAAAACCAAGTAAACAAAATGAGACCAACTAATGGAAGGCACAAAGTCAGATCAATGGGTTCAGACTTGAGGCAATAAGCAAAAGAGGGATTCTGGACTACTGCCCTAAAAAGATTAAGAAGCTATGCTCTAGTGGTAGTGTAGACAGTAACAAGGAAGATCTAATTAAAAGCAGCCAAGAAAGAAGGAAAACTGCTGTAAATAATTTTGATTTGAACTGATGAAGGCCCAAACTAAACAGTAACAGTAGGAATACAATCCAAGTGGGAAGCAGAAAACAATTTCGAAGTGACAAGTTCTAAAAGGTTTGATGAACAACAGGATATGGCTGATAAAATGAAGAGGGAAAAATCCATTTCATTGGTTTGTAAACTCTGGAGAATTTCATTTAAAAATAAAACAAAAGGCCTGGGCAACAAAGACCCATCTCTAACAACAACAACAAAACAAAACAACAACAACAACAAAATTAGCCAGGCTTGGTGGCACCTACCTGTAGTCCCCACTACTGGGAAGGCTAAAGCAGGAGGATCGCTAGAGCCCAAGCATTTGAGGCTGCAGTGAGCCATGATTGCTACACCCTGAGCAACAGAGTAACACCCTGCCTCAAAATCAATCAAAACAATGGCTATTTATAATCTTCTGATAATATAAGAATACATGCTTCATTTTAGAATAGTTGAAAACTATAAAAAGATATAACATTTAAGTAGCCCATAACTTCTCCATCCATATATAAACACTGCTAAGGTTGATATATCTCTTTCCAGTTTTAAACATACTTTTACATCTTTCTGTATACTTGTTTTCACTAAACAGTATTCCATGAGCATGCCATTAAAAACTCTATATGAGCATTGTTTGAATAGCTAAATAATATTCTGTGTACAAGTAAGTACATTCTAATTTATTTTTATTCTCTTATATTTGGGCACTGCTTCAAAATTTTAACTACTGCAAATAATGCTTTAATAAATAGTAATATAAATATTAATAAATATGTTCTGCCTATCCAATTCCTAATTATTTCCTTATAATTGGGGTATTAAAATGGAAATTACTGGGTTCAAGGGTACATACATTTCCCAAGCCCCTTGAAGCAAATATCCTACTAGGTAATACATATAAGGTACTTTGCCCACAGTCTGGCCCACAGTACAGTATTAGATAAATGTAAACTTTAGTAATATTGCTATGATGATTTCCAGGAATGTTTTGCCAACTCATACCCCTTCCACCTATGTATGAGAGTACCTCTCATATTCTCAATGACTATTTTTATTATTTAAATCTCAGCTAATTCAGTAACTTAGAAATTCTATCTTGTTTTGATTTTTCTTATGACCACTAGTAAGAATGACATTTTTGTCTCATCTGCTATATTGGATAAATGTATTTCCTCTTTAGGGAATTATCTACTTCATCATGTCCTTTGGCAATACCACATATGTTCCTTATTTGTATAAACCTGTCATATGATAAACAGTTTTTCTGCCATATTTTGTCATACGTTTGTTTAAAATAGGCATCCCCATTTAAATTGTGTTCATGTGACTGGTGAGTGACTCTTTTCATATTTTGGTTTAAGGTACCTAAGTCCTCAGAAGTAATATTAGAGTTTTTCTCTCAGAGGAAATGAGTAGGTATGTTAAGATTCACAAACACAATTAAACACCAAACAAATCACCAAAAGAGTGATATTTCTACTTATTGTTACTAATACATTTTGACCCTAGGCAAATTACATCTTAAAGATCACATCACATGCGACTTATCAATAAGAGAGAAGATAACACCGATTTCCCCCTGGAAGTACTATAATGGTGGGAAGTTCTGTTGAAATTGAAAAGGTAAAGAAGGCCTGGTATGATGGCTCATGCCTGTAATCCCAAAGCTTTGGGAGGCTAAGGCAGACGGATCACGTAAGGCCAGAAGTTCAAGACTGTTTCTACCAAAAAACAAAAAACATTAGCCGTGCTTGGTAGAGCAGCACACTTACAGTCCCAACTACTCAGGAGGCTGAAGTGGGAGATCGCTAGAGCTCAGGAGTAAGTCTGCAGTGAGCTATGATCGCACCACTGCACTCTAGCCTGGGCAACAGAGTGAGACTGTGACCCGAAAGAAAGGATAAAGAAATTTAACCTTTGTTTTCTTTGAAAGCATACTAATTTTACATAGTGAAAAACTCAGATTAAGCATTCAACAGAAAAGAAAGGGAAGAGGGGTAATTTTTTATTCCAAGTTAAGTGAAAACTAGAAAAACTTTCACAAAAATCAAAAGAAGCCCACTTTACCTGCAAGGCCTGGAGATGGCACTGATGAATTTGGTGACTGGACCGTTCTGTTTGAGGGTGGTCTTGGCTGGCCATGATCTATATTAGTATCTTTCCTCACAATATTGTCCAGCATAATAGTACTCGAACAGTCAATCTTACAAGAAAAGAAATTATTTCAGGGCATTCTGACTTTGCAAGTTAAAAGCTACTTTTAAATTTATAAGAAAGCTTCAATAACTTAATTATTATCAAATAACAAAACATAGATACCACATTTGAGAAGTTCTAACAGATACTTTCCCCATAAACAACCTTGAATAAAGATTTTCACTATCTTAGTGTTTCACTTTAGTAAAATATTGAGGACAGTATTTCAGAAACAAGAGTCAAAAGGAGTATCATGTCATTCACACTCTTAAAAATTGAAAAAAAAGTTCTTAATTTATAAAGAAACGACAAAAGGTTGCCATATGAAAAACATAAACTTGGTGAGAAGACTATCACAATTTTACATTTCTTGCAAATCTCTTTAATGTCTCCCTAAACAGCATTCAATCTATTGTGGTGTATAGTTTTGCTTGAAAAATATGAAGAAAATCTAGCCTCACATAGATAGGACCTAGTGGACCCCCTGAAAGGGATACTTTAGCAACTGATACTCTGGGTATGTGCTAGATAGATGAAGTCCATATATCTATAGCACTAACCTCACTGAATACATTACTCTTGTTTTGTAGGAGAAAAGATGCTGTCTCTTATACACATCTAGATGTGTATAAGAGACAGTATAGCACTAACCTCACTGAATACATTACTCTTGTTTTGTAGGAGAAAAGATGAACCCTAAAGATTCTTGCTTTAATATAACAGGAATACAAATAACACTGTTTTCCTTATCCACTGCCAGGCAAAAATACTTATAAATCCCTAATGAGTAAGAGTTTACTGCTTTAGGCACAAAAATTCCTTCATGCCTACATATACCAAATTTCCCACCAATGGCTTTGGGCTTAAAATCCAGTTCAATTCTTTAACATAGTTCTACTCTTGTTCATCCAGGATTCTATAAGATAATTAAGTCCTACAGCCATAGGGCACAGTTTGTATATAATTAATCAATTTCTTGCTTATGCACCTAGAATGGTACTAGTTATGAAGCACCTTTGGGAGAAATGAGAAAACAGTCACTCATTTTAGTTTATTCTGTAATTCATAAGAGGAATTTCAGGTAAGAAAGGCTGGTGGAAAAAGGTTCACCTGTATGACATCTGCAGAGGAAAAAGCAGAAAGAATTTTACTTCCTGTGGGTTCGGGGGCGGGGGAAATCGGGCTGGGTGGTTAATACACAGGGTCATTTTTGTTTTAATATTCTTTTGGCAATACTTGGCCAATATTTTTCAGAGAGTACAAAAAGTACTAGAATGACTAAATTCGTGAGAACTTAATACAAGGAAAGTTGTTTATGTTGTGGGATAATCCTAAAAACCAAATAAAACTATGGGGATTAGATATAAGGTTTCCTATGAACCATCCATACATGAAAAAATATATGTATCCTACTCATTTAAAGTATACAAAACTATTTTAAAAATGGAATGACTCTGGTAAGATTAACAATGCAACTATTAGGAAATATTAATTGATCTCAACTTGAAAAACAAATTAAATAATGAAAATAAAAAAGTTCTTTTCACAATCTTATAGGTTAATTCAATCCAAGTACAGAGTACACGATATTTCCTAAAAGCTTCTTAACGTTAGGTTGCGTATGTGTATGTGCACGACAGTGGGTTATCTAACCTTAGATTAAAAAAAGGATCAAATACAGAATCAACTTATATATAGAGATATGTCTACAGAATGTAGAATTTCTCCCTTTGGAATAGTCAAACTGACTGGGTGTGGTGGCTCATGCCTGTAATCCCAGCACTTTAGGAGGCCCAGGCGGGAGGATCCCTTCAGCCCAGGAGTTCAAGACCAGCCTGGGTAACATAGGGAGTCTCCCCCATCTCTATTAAAAATAAAAATCATTAAAAAATATAATAAATAACAAAAAGTCATACTGACAAAGAGTTTGGAGAGTGAGTTAATTCACATGTAATACAAACCAGAGGTAATTTTGCACTTGTCAGTATGATCTAACAGGATTTCTCTTATTAAACTTGTTTTCATCTCTTCTGATGTCCAGCCATTCAACTTCCCAGCATATCTTTCCATGTCCTTACTTTTCTCCTTTCCCAGCTTAGATTCCATGATCCCTCACCATAATCACTCATTTACAAACACCTTTAACTCTGGTGGCTTGAAAGTCATTATGTGTCCAATGTTCATAATCTTTTTACTTTTACGACCGTTGTAATATTCTAAAGGATTAAAATTAACTTGTAAAAACAAACAACCTATAATCCAACAAATTCATGCCTTCTACCAGATCCAAATTCACTGACAATTTTCTTTCATTCTTGAGACAGGGTCTCGCTCTGTTAGGCTGGAGTGCAGTGGCATGATCTCGGCTCACCACAGCCTCTGCCTCCCAAGTAGCTGGGATTACAGGCGTGTGCTACCATGCCTGGTTAATTTCTGTATTTTTTGGTAGAGACAGGATTTCACCATGTTGGCCAGGCTGGTCTCAAACTCCTGACCTCAAGTGATCCATCTGCCTCAGCCTCCCAAAGTGCTGGGATTACAGGAGTGAGCCACTGTACCCGGTGGACAATTTTCAACAGATGCTGGTATAAATTTTGTATCTACTTACATCTGGAAGAGAGGGAAGATTATAAGACCCTCCTACTGGTGAGCTCAAATCGATCATAGGTGAACCAAAAGCCTTTCCATCGTATCCTGCTGCACTAGTAATCGTGGGACTGGAAGGAGTAGAGGATGTGCTGTTGGTAGTTGATGGGGTTCCCTGTCCACTGCTGATCTGCCACTACAGTAACAAGAAAGGAAGAACAAAGGCTATCAACAAGCTTATAAAATACAAAGTCTATCTAATCACTCACACAAAATGAAGTAGAAGAGTTCAACTGTAATTTACATGGAAGGAGAATGGGACAGGGAAAGACTGTACAAGTATATATAATTTTCATTAATCTTGTCAAAAAAAAAAAACAACACAGTAAAAAGCACTGATTTTTACTGGAAGACAACAGTTAGTATATACCAGAAAATCACAGTACCCAATCTTGGCAGGTTTATACGTACTGGAAAAAAAAAAAAAAGTAAATATATACATAGCAACTTCAAGTTAAAGATGGAGGGTTGAAAACATACATTTCTTCTATCCCTATCTGAAATACCTGAAAACAATAAGCTACAGACTGGTGCTTTCGGGATTTTATATTCCTCTTTCTCATATATAAAGAGATTAATTAGGCCTCGATAAATATCCGAGGAAAGTACTATCATTCCTGCTGAGATAAACACATTAAGATGATGACAGGCTTGCTGAAGTATATAGAAGTGAAGCATGCTGCTGTCTGCAATTTACTCAAAACCTATTGAAAAATATGATAGGCTGGGCATGGCGGCTCATGCCTGTAATCCCAGCACTTTGGGAGCCCGAGATGGGTGGATCACTTAAGGTCAGGAGTTCAACACCAGCCTGGCCAACATGGTGAAACTCCATCTCTACTAAAAACACAAAAATTAACTGGGCGTGCTGGTGGGCACCTGTAATCCCAGCTACTTGGGAGGCTGTGGCAGGAGAATCACTGGAACCCAGGAGGCAGAGGTTGCAGTAAGCCAAGACCCCATACCAGTGCACTCCAGCCTGGGCTACAGAGAGTGAGATTCCGCCTCAAAAAAAAAAAAAAAAAAAAAAAAAGGATGACTTGATGAATGGACAAAGGAATAAATACGTAATAAGGCAAGCAGAACAAAATGTTCCCTATATAATTCTTTCAATTTGTATTATGTTTGAAAATTTTCATGCTGGGAGAAGAAAAATAAGAATATTGCAAGATGCTGTATTTTCCAAACATGGTCATTCATAAATGAACAACACTATATAGAGAGACAGTGTCTGAAACATTTTAATTGTGAAAAACCTAATTTATATATTCCACTGTAAAAACTACATACAGAAACATAGTTGGACATGAATGTCCTCTTTACCACCTACTCCTCCCTCATATTCCCTACCCCTATGCCCCCTTTCCTCCTCCTCTACCAAGAACAATCAGTTAGTTGGTGGATCGTTTCAGGTTTTTTTCTATGTACATGATGAGGCTGGAGGAAAACACACACACAAATGAGATAACACCTCACAAAAATTCTATAACATGCTTTTCCTCACATACTCAGAAAATCATATCTAGATTATTGCATTTTCTTAATATCTGAAAAGTATTCCACTGTATGAGTACATGTTAATTTCTTAAACTCATCTACTACTTAAAATCAATTTCCCACTAGATTTTTTCCTGGCTTGTTCACTTATTCATTCATGTTTACAATTTTGGTCAACAACCATTTTTAAAAAACATATTTAGAGTGCCTACTCATTAAAATATAATAAATAGGGAAGAGGTAAACATGTGAGTACTGAGCATGTGCTAGGTGCTTGTGTATACTTTAGAATAAACTCTCAACATTAACTCTGCAAGATACTCATTTTATAGCTGAGGCAAGTGAGATGTGAAAAGACTAAGTGCCACAAAATTTTTAGGTAAATAAGCAGAATTTAAGGCCAAACTGAAGCTTTTTACTTTCCTTCAAATGATGAAATAATTGGTATGAATTTTATTTTAAATAATTAAAATATTGTTTAAGAGAATTTGGTGATGATATAGCAAAGCCAAATTGATTATACAAACATATGTATAGACACAGAATGTGAATACTTTTAGAATATTAAAATGATTTTATTAAAATGAATGTTACAGAATTATGAAAATTGCATCATCTTTTATTTTGGTCTTGGAGAAAAAAATTAAACCAAAATCAGTCTACAATCAGCTAGACAGGCTGTTGTCACAGGAGCTTTGAGAAGAAAAAACACTGTGATAACTTTCACTTTAGGGTAATGTAAAACACAGAAAATATTTTTACCTGAAGACATTAAGAATATAAATAATACAGCCAGGTATTACAGGTGGGATTACAGGCCCACACCTGTAATC